GAAATTATGAGCAGTGTGGGTTTTCAGGCAATCAAAACATTTTAATGATCTCATTAAATGTATCATTTACAACATATATATGTTAAAAGAAATACGTTCCTTTGGGTTAGTGGAAGCACTGGGTACACAATGTGTTTGAACATGTTAGGCTTCCACTAGAATCTATGCCAGAACTGTAGAAACTTGGAGAGAAAAAAAAAACCCACCCTTTTTCTTGTGCCAGCATCTTTAGAGACAGAAACCTTTTTATCATATTTTATGCAAAACGAAGAAAAAGATTTTCTTCGGAAACTGTGCTAGGACTGCATCTCAGCTGATAGCATTTAATAGCAATACTTACCTATCAGATTGACTGTTATTCTATGAAATAACTAGGATTAATGGTGGATTTTCTTATGTATGAAACAACTAGTGTTATACAAGGATAGCAGTCTTCCTAAGACCACAATTTTGTCATCTGTTGAGTTTTGTATGTAGCCTTGAGAGCTTGGAAAATGAGGGTTCTTGAAAAGAAATAGTTACTATAACAGCGGCTCTTAAAGCTGCTTCAGCCATTTGGCTGCCTCTTATAAACGACAGATTCTAGAGAAGAACACCTACTTCAAACAGCCAGTTTCCTGATGATACACAAAGGGTGAAACCCCAGTGCCGATAAAAGGAATGGGGTACTGATGCAGAGACCCAGATTTCTTTTTTCTCGGGGCATCCAGCTTTGGAACTGTAGGGTGCATTGAGAGCGTGCTTCCTAAAGCAATAATTTTAAAGATGTGTTAATGAGAGATGTGTCCAGCTTTCAAAACTGTATCTTTGCCAGATGTAGGCAACGTCCTTCTCAGAGGGATGAGCTGCGCGACCTGTTTTCCACCCTGAGCCAGGCGGCACAGCAGGCGACAGGCCTGGGCTGGAGAGCCAAAGCTATTGCAGTATATTGCTGCTATTTCTTTTTATTGTAGTATTGTTCCTATAGAGGTTTGCTGACAAGTTATATGTTTTACAGATCAGGTCTGCTTGATGAGGAATCCTTGCTTGAAATCGTATCTAGGATAAATCGGGTTTGTAAATCAGACCTTATGGTTCCTATTGGAATGCTAATGATCTCAGAGGGAGGGCTTGGGTTTTGAAAACAAATCTAAGCTAATGCCCAGGGTTCCTGAAAGAGCTGTTAATATCATGAAAACTCATGTTTAAAGCCTCTTTTAAAATGTAAAAACTTGTCAGGCACTGCTCAACCAAGGCTGTTTGGAACTGATGAAATGTGTGGACACACCAAAGCACCCTTTGCAACGTCTGGCCAGATCGCTGCTGTACAGCAATTCCAGTGCTGTCAGTAGCGATGCAAACCAGAGCATAATGTGGCCCATCATGGTTTGGATGTATTTGCTGCATGGATAACTATGCAAGGCAGTTAGCCCAGCGTGCTTGGCCCTACTGAGGGAGCAAGAATGACTCTTCTCTTGGTTACGGTAGGATAGTGAGCTTCCAGAACAGTGCCACCCTCACCCATTTTGAAAAAGTGTTCAAATAAATCAAAATACATAACATATTTAATAGAGTTTTGAACACTCCACATTCATTCGTACTAGGTGTGAGCAGTGAGGTGTGTTTTACAAAACCTCTCTGAACTAAGGAAGCAGTACAAAGCCAGGAGACAAATGTGGGACTCGGACATCTCTCTTCCCCGCAAATCTAAGCTAGTTTCTGTTGCTACCACCAACATGTTTCCATGTGAATTAGTAATGTTAGTAGCATAATAAAGTACGCCTTATTCAGCTGTGATCGCTGGTGGCATTTTAGCTGCTGCATCACCTTGATCTGATGAAAATCAACATAAAGGGTGAAGTGGCTAACACACCAGCAGCTCTGTTGATACTCTCGGTGGCACTAACTGGCCATTCTATGGAGGAAAATGCTCTTGTAGGTTCAACATTAGCAAGTCCTCAATACCTCCTGAGGAAGAAGGAAGCTAACCATTTCTGTGTCTCAAAAGGTACTTTGTATTCAGTTATATAAAGTTATCTGTAGCACTCAGCATAGACCTTTTAGATAGAATCATTCCTGAGGAAAGAGACATTACGTCCGCCAAGTTTCAGGCCAAAACAAGATTTTATAGCCCAATTGCAAACCCATAGGACAGGGCTTTATAATGGAAATGCTGACATAGCCTTAACTATTTTGTATGACTCCAGTGGGCATCAGCTTATGTTCTAGTTATGATGTGCATTTAATGGCATGCAATCAAACATATAGTGTAATGGGATATTTTAAGATACTGTGTTTGAAGAGAATCGGTATTTAAATATTATTTATGAACGATGTCATTTAAATGCTACTGAAATGTGCCATTCAGTCCTTGGTTGCATGAAAAAAAAATTCTAATCACATTTCTCAGAATGAACAGTAGCGTAGTTTTCTTCCACAGCTTCAGTGCTGAGACAGTTCCAAGAAGAGGGTTGGTATTATTTTGTTGAACCCTTACTGGAATATTTCTGGAAAATAATGGTTTTCATTTTTCACTGTGGTGCTCTTTAATTCTTCATTTCAGCCTTTTGAGGTATATTCTGATTTTGCTTGGAGAAGATCTTTGAAGATTGTTTCTCTCCAGTTATCAGTGAGTCTGCAAGAAGACAGCAGTTACTAGTATTTGCTGTGTTGTGCTAGACGAATCTGCTTTGTCTTGTGCAGTATCTTTCATATATTTCAAGTTGATAGCATAAAAGTTCTCTCTCTCACACAACCTAATACGCTGCTTTTTTTTGTGCTGAGGAAGTGGTTGCTCCAAAATGGAAGCTGCCGTTCATTAGTCGTGTAGGTCGACAGTAAAACTTGCTTTAATGCAGATGATGACTAGAACTCTCACTGCTTTTACTGCAAATGGGAATGTAGCGTTGAAAGCAGCCAGTTTTGCTTATTACTCAGTTGCAGTCTGGACCCTAAAACCATATACTTTATCCTAGGAAAAAAGCTTCTCCTTCAACTGTTATTTACTGAATAATAATGCTAATTGAAATTATTTCAGTGCAGAAGGTTAGGAAGTTTCAGAGCTAATCCTAATAAGTTTGTGTAATAGTTTGAATCTATTTTCAATTAATTAGTAATAATCTGCGTGAAGATCTCAAAGCACTTTGGTAACATTAAAAAATTGAAACAATCTTTGGAGAAGTGCCAGTCTGACTAAGCCAAAGAAACTCTGTCACTGGTTTCTATTAAGCCAGAACTCCACTCCTGCTGCAAGCCTGTCCAGCCAGGAACAGGGGAACGACGGTACTTTGCTTTCAGAAGTTGCAATAGCAGAGTCACAGTGTTGGTCCTTTGGTTGGTGCTGGTTTATCTTTGGGATAATCATATTTCTCCTGTTGAGTATGCAGGGTGCTGTCTGGGAGAAGGGCTTGGGCTTTCATCCTGCAGTTGACTCATTTGCCCAATTTTTGAGGAACATTGCTATAAAAAAGACTCCCCAGTATATTTTATTTCTGAAATTTTGCAAACCACACTATTTTGTAAGCTTCCTTTATATATAAACACTTTTTCACGGAATATGGAAATTATATGATTTTCATCCTTTAAAAAACAAGCACAAACTGATGTATTCTAAACGGCTACTAACTGGAATTCCAATTAGTTCAGCAATTGACAGAAAATTAAAATTCTATCTTATTCCCGTGGTAAGGTCTGAATTATTTAATCGCTTCATTCCACATGGTTCTTACAGGTGCGCTGTTTTTTTTTACTTTTGACAGAGCCAAATGACACAAAAAGGTGCTGTGGTGCTCTTGACTTTACAGGAAAAACTAGTAGTCTGGAAAAGTCATTTCACATTATTTAATAATTTTGCAGCAGTCTATCGTTTGTTTGACAGGAAACAGAAAATATTAGAGATGCATATCTCAAGAGCAGAGTTCCATAATGAAAAAACCTACATATATGCATTGAATGTACAAGCTGCACTACTTAGGACTTTTGAAATTTGCTAAGAGCATTTTACAAGTGCAGTCATTTTCACTAACTTTCTTCCATAATGAAACCTCCTACATATATGCATTGAATGTACAAGCTGCACTACTTAGGACTTTTGAAATTTGCTAAGATTTTACAAGCACCCCTCAATCTTTTTTTTTTTTTTTTTTTTTAGCTATTAAAAAGGCATGTAATTTTAATTTTTGTGGCCCATTAGTGTGCAAACGCCATTGGGCTTGTTTAGCCTGAACTCCTGGTCTAAATTCAAATCCCTCTGCTTTTGAGGAGACTGTTGACCACATTTTAGAAACACAGCCATCATAATTTAAAAATCAAGATGTGAAAATAACTAGAAACAAGTATTATTTAAAGCAACTCTACAGGGAGCAGAAATGGGTACACAAGTTTTCCAAAACAATACAGTGAACAAAATACGGGAATATCATAAAATAATGTACAGCCTTCAACTGATAAAGTTGAAATCACAATTTCATGATCTCACTGAACATGGGGGACAAAGAATCCCAAAAAACTAGAAAAGTAGAACGTATTTAACCATTACAGTCCTTTGGAGAATATGTACTATTTGGATAGTCACATTTTTTTATTATTAATAAACTAATTTATTCAGATATATGCATTCCTTAAAAAAAATTAAAAAAAGAAAAAAGAAACAGCAACAAAAAACTTGAGGGTGGTCTAAGATGTCTGTCTTCTTTATGTAACCTTTTGCATTTTGTGTTTAAGAACTGACATTCCAAATGATTTTCTTTGGCTTTATGCCTGGACTGAATACCAAGGCAGCAAATTAGGAATGCTTAAGAAGTCCCACAAAGAAAGATGTTTGCTGTGAAAGTGCAGCTAATGTGACACTTGCGCTGGAAGCTTCTTAGCCTACTCAACCGATAAAAGATGGCATGGGTCTAGGTGGTGTGAGGGGAGTGAATGGACTGAAACTACCATGTGCTGAGCGATACGAGGTCTTTCTTGTGGCCAGTTATCTGCCACTGTGACTATGCTGATACTACCTTTTATTTCTATTCCAGGGGCTAACTTTGTTACTCGAAAAATTAGCCGATCGGTAGCAAAGATTCACCTCGGACAGCTGGATTGTTTCAGCCTGGGCAATCTGGATGCTAAGAGAGACTGGGGCCATGCCAGGGACTACGTTGAGGTAAGCTGTGGGCCACGTGCCTTTTTCTGAATCGTCTTCGTGGCGGGGGATAATGCTTATTGCTGTAACTTCAGGTCATGGTCCACGGAGGGCTATCTCAAGATGTTTTTGCCTATTGAGGCCTGTTAACTTTGTCTTTCTCTTGATTTCAGACTAGGGAATTTAGTAACACAGCAGTCTACCCCAGGCATGACCTGAACAGAAAAATAAATCTTTGGGTTTACATTCCTTGACTGAATTCCTTGGGGGAGGGGGCTAATTATAAAGTGGATCTATTTTAGAGTATTTCTCCTATTGTTTTGACAAATTTTATGACCCATATTAAGATTGTAGCAAGATGCAGTATGACCTGAAGTCAAAGATCCTGCCGGAGGTTGGTGTCCTTTATTATAATGAGGCAAGAATGATGTATATATTAATGATCAAAGGTCTAGCTGGCTATACATTAGAAAGAAGCATCACAACGCAGTTGTGATGGCAGGCATTGCAACGCATGTGCCTGCATCTAGGGTTTGAAATGTTTTTGTAGTCAGGATTTGTTTCTAATTTTATTCTATGCATCTACTTAAGCAGACAAACAAACAATACCCCTGTATTGTATTACAAGGAGACGTGAATGACCATGTAGGAAATATTGTCTTTTCCCCAGGAGACTTTTGTCCCCATTTTGGTGCTTAAAGATTTCCTGTGGTCATTGGACTATTTCTGTCTTTTAATAATTCCTTGCTGGGAAACCGGATTTGGCTTCACCATTCATTGATGTAGTCTAAAAAGATGATGACTGTTTGTTTTGTTTTTCTATATTACAAAGTAAGAAGTATTTCAGTAGGAAAAAGTCTGATTGGGGATTTTTATTGTAAGTTGAGATTTAAAAGGTAAAATAAAAGGTGAGCTCTCAAATCCTGTTTACGGTCAAAAAGAAACAGCAAGAAAAAAAAATCGTAATACCACAATATAGTCTTTTGTTCTGGATGATATTTAAAAAAGTAAACAGCCATATCACCTTGGCATCAAAAGGGTTACATCAAGTAAGCGAAGAAGGTGATTTTTGGCAGCCGCTATAAATAAAGTTGGCTTTTGGTTCTGCACTGCGTTTGCATGTAAGGTGGTAAGGGCACCATGAATGTCATGACTGCCTCCATGACTATTGTTTTTTATTTGTGGCTACAACATTAGTTGAAGCAGTTAATCCAGTAAACCATCCCAATCATCTTTTTAATGGATAAAACTATAGTCAAGAGTGTTCATAAAGTCAGTTACCAAGTCTCAACTGAAAGGAAGTAAAAGATAAGCCAAATAAAATGATCAGTTGCATGAACATAGTGAGCATAATTTGCTAACAGGCGTTGGATATTCCATAAATTCTTCGGCTATTTCATTCCAAGACAACTTGTACCAGATCATAAATTGTGGGATGAATTCTGATGTCTTCTTCCATAAGGGAAATCCAGAATAACCCTCTTGTGCCTAGTGGGTCAGACCCTTGTCCTGTGTTCAAACCTTTAAAAACAAAAAGGAAATGAGAACAAGTCTATCCAGAAGAATGACTAGTTTCCAAGGCCTTTGGCCTCCAGAAGGAACGTAGTTGTCCAAGGTCTACAGCACGAACACATGTTTGTTGTGTAAGTAGCGTTCCAGACCTTTCAGCTACACGTTTTGGGCCTGTCCCAAAATCTTCTGGAAAGAATTCCTCACTAAAATATAGTTCATTTTGAGTATTTCTCTTCCCAGAGAGGCACCCCTTCAGATAATGGGAGAGTTATTATCAATTCTCTAATTCCCTGAATATTGTGGAAATGTGGTTACAGGCAGCCTTCTAATGGCTAAAAAAGAGAGTAACTTTAAACTGGAAATAAACAATTATTTGAGGCTTTAATGGACTGGAAAGTAGGGCTTAGAGATTTAACATTGTTCAAATAAATACATAGTATGTTAGAGAGCATGATCGTATTTACAAGCATTTGGGGAGCTTCCTTAAGCGTATGGCTGAACACATAGGGATATATCTTATCCTCTCCATATGTACTTTTAAATCCCATCGATATTAATACAAGTAACACATGTGCGTATAGACTAGACCATGTACTGTGTTTTCTTTCTCCTTATTTCCTTATTAGGGATAATAATAAAACCATAAATACATTCCTTTTTGTTGTTTTATAAAACATTATGGGTCAATTCCTGGTCTCATGAAAGTTGATGACCAAACTCCCATTGACTTCATGGAGAGATCGTATCCTGTATGTATTAGTGGAGTGGAGAACATCTGGTGGTTACAAAGCACAAGCAGAAGTCAGGACTCTTGAGCTTTGATCACATGCGTTCATCCGACTGCCACTGTGATTTTGGGCAAACACTTCTGTATGCAGTAAGGCATGAAAGCGTGTGCCTGCACTTAAGCATGTAGGTCCCCACCAAGGGACGGGCTGCCAGCGTGCTCAGTGCTAGCTGTGGGTTGAGGTCAGCTTTAGTAGCAGATGATTCAGAAGGTTGATGTTTAAACATAGGCTTATATCAGGGGAGAATAGTTGGAATAAGTGTTTGATTAGGTTTTTGAGCCGGGACTTGAACTGCCACCTGCAGGAACTGAAAATCAGGTACAGAGGCATTGTGCTGGTGAATGAAAACCGGGAAGTCTAACTCACTAGAAAGAAAGGTTTCCATTCAGTGTTTGAAGAGAACAAAATAGAAATAAGTAGGCATCGAAAAGTTGAGGGGGGAGGGGGGGGATTATTGGTTTTATCCTAAAATTATATTAGTAACTCTTAACATTTTTGCAGAAATTGCTACTGCCTCTTACTCCCCCTTTCTCCATTTTTACTCTACTGTGATCCAGCATAAGTCTCATGGGATGGTATTAGAGATGATGATCAATGCCACTGAGCTGGAAGAGGAAAAACAATATATCAGTGCTATTGATATATGAATCTTCTGTGTGCTATTTTGTTTTGTGAGGGTAACATGCCTTTTATTTGTTGCAGAAAGTTCTAGTAAACCATCTGCTAGGTGTTTTCAAATATTAGTACAATAGCAAGCCTTAACAGTCTGACTCATTTCTATGCCATTTATAAAACACAAGGCATCATATAAATTTCCTCAGACACTCACCCAAGAGTCTTATTTGAAATAAATATAGATTCTCAGAACCATTTACCTTGGACCATTAAAAAAATGCCCATCGATCCATCACTAGTTGGTTGGTTTTTTTAATTTCCTACATGCTAAATACTGTAAATGAAGTAGTGAAGGTATTCCTGCAACTGAAACCTTAATGTGTTGTTCTTGGGGATGTAATACACATCTATTTGTAAAGATGTAAAGGGAAAGCCAACAGATAGAACAGAGTCATGTGGGAAAGTGGCTCTGGGAAAAGAGCGAGTTCGTATTAGAGTTCAACAGCTGAGGCTTTTTCTTCCTTTCCTTCAGTTTCCTCTTTATCACCCACTGATGCTCAGGTTGCCTTCTGCAGTTGCACTGCCCACACCTCAGTGTTGTCCAGAGAGCAGAAATACTGCACTGATGAAGGCTGTGGAAAAACCTATCGATATATATCTTGCAAAAGTAAAAAAACAAGTCAAAAGTAACAGTTTTAATAGTCTTTAAGTATTCGTACAGATCAGAAATATTTTCTTTTGCCTTCAATAGAAATCCAGCAGTATTTCAAGCAATAATTACAGAGGACTCATGACTGGGTCATATTTGGCTCCAATTCAATTAATTACAGGTCTAGCTAAATGCTTAAAATTAAGCATGTGCCTAAATTCATGGTGAAATCAGGGACCATTTGATGTTCTAAATGTATGGCAATCAGCTTTTATTAATTTATATTTAAATAATGTAAAAAAAACCAAGCAAAAAAGAACAGTTTATAAAGAAGTGAAATAGTAAGTTATTGTACAGTGCAACCAAGCACATTAAGAAACTGTTTCAACAGAGACTTTCCATCTTTTTTTTAATTGGTACTGGTGCTGATTCGTACTTTGTGATTAAAATGCGCAAGAAAATGCACAGTCATTTTTATTGTCTTAAACCATTTTGCACATGTTGAAATTGAGATAATAAAATCTAATCTACAGTGATGCCTTCTGTGTTTAAATCTCCAGTCAGCATGACCTGGTGTTTTATTCATGATTCTTCTATTCACCATTCTAATAGGTAGAGACTGACCATTGGAGAGATGGCTGCTACTATTTCTGTTGTGGGAAATCCTTTCTTGTATGTTTGTGTGTACATGTCAATATAAAAACTCTTGCCAGACAGAATTATTTAAAATATTACTTCCCTCTTGTGCATAAGGAAAGGATTCAGCCAGCGAGACTGTTGGCCGAGGCATTTCTAGTTCTGTTTTGTTGTTTTCTTGGAGTATTGAGGATGTGTCGTCTTTTGAGATACGTTTTACCTTAGTCTGATGAGACTCAAAGTTTTTTCTGAGACATCCTTTCATCAGCCCGGTGGAATACTTGCTTGTGAGAGTCTTGCTTTGTTGAGGATTGTTGGTTATAAAAGGAAAGTCATTTATATCTGTCTGTGTAACTATCAATACCTCATATAGTTACGAGATTAGCTCATGAACTTAAAGGCATGCTTTTAAATGAGGATTACCCTTTTGTTATGGACTGAAGTAAAAAAAGTTTTTCCCTTCTTACTGCTTAGGTTTTATGCTCAAAGTTAATAAGTTCTAATAGAAGTTAGGAAATAATTTTAAACCGTCAATGCTGGACTTCTTTGAGTATGAGGGTAAAGATTTTCGAGCCATCCAGGTACTCAAGTGTATTTTGTGTATTTCCACATTTCATTCCAAGAAAATGAGAACTTTTTCTTTCCATCAGCTTGCTTGAGCTGGGATAATTAATGGCTCTATTAAGCCAAATTGATCTTAAAATTATATCCAATCTGCTCTGATTAATGTGATGATCCACTGAACTGATTATCTTATTGCTGCCATCTAGGTGAAGTAATTGTGAGAGCAGCAGGGCTTGCATGAACCTTTAGGAGAAAAG